TTCTATGAAACTAAGCATTGACCAAAGGTCCAACTGACACTACTATAGGAACTCAGCTGATGAAATATGAAATTATATGAATATTAAAAGTAGATTGGATAATCCAGATCTCACACTCAAACCTTGTCTATAATAATTAGGGTGTTTGTTTGAGGGCAACTGAAGTGGACGTAAAGTATGGATGCAAGAAATAGACTAAGCAATCTATTAGATAATGGGTGGTTAACTACAATAAAAGGGTCTACCAAGCACTATCAATACTGTAGAAAAGAAGAAATCTATCTATGAAATTAAAATACTAAAATTAAAAATCAAAATTGAAAGCAGAGTGTATAAATGGGTATAATTAAGTAGTTCAGTTAAACCCACAGTCAATGGGAGAACTATAAAATTAAAATGTGAAAGCATTACTCAAGACCAACTGACCAACAGTGGGAGATGTTGAAATATACAACTGTGGAAATGGTATATCTAAATTACGCAGAGATATGGAGAGTGTAATCAACGTCAACGATATATCAATTAAACCTGAGCAAGCTAGTTTTGTAAATTATTGAAAGAGTAAAATAGTAATGTTAATCAAAGTGTGAAATTAATATGTTCTTCTCTAGTCTACTTCTCAGTGCAGGAAGCCTAAACAGCCAAGATGGTTCCCCACGAGGTGAAGCTGCAATTTAGAAATAGGTTTAAATTTAGTACTTCTTGTTCTTTAAGTTCCATCTTCTATCGAGGGTTGGAAATCATCATGGCTATGCAGACTCTGTTGAATGCCGCTCTAAAAAGTTCTGCACTACTGCAATCAAACCATTCCCTTAAGTTCTTAAGCCAGGATATTCTTCGTCTTCCACATTTCGCTTTCCTCGGATTTTGCCCTGCATAATAAGTTGTAATAATGCGTATTTTTTCCCTCTCAGCACATGTCCCAAGTGCTAAAGTTTTCGTCTTTTAATAGTTAATATTATTTCCGCCTCATTTCCTATCCCTCTAGTTACTTCCATGTTTGACATTCTTTGAATCCATGATATTCGTAGGATTCTTCTGTAACACCAAAATTCAAAGGCGGCCAACTTATTCAGATGAACTTGTTTTAGTGTCCAAGCTTCCAAACCATAAAGAAGAGTAGAGAACACGTAACATCGAAGCATTCTCAGGTGGAGCTCTAACCTTATATCCCGACATCAAAGATACTTTTTAAGTTTAATAAATGATGTACGTGCTATTTCAATACGTGTCTTAATTTCTTTGGTTTGGTCTACATATAATGTTATCCATGTTCCTAAGTATTTATAGTTATTAACACTCTCAATTGCAGTATCTTCAATAGTCAATTGGATATTTGCATGTGCAGATTTAGTCATGATCATGCATTTAGTTTTCTTTAAATTTATCTTAAGTCCTTACTCATGACAGCGTTCATTAAGGCGTTGCATTACGTTCTGTATATCATTGTTGTTATCCGTAATTATTACTGTATCGTCTGCAAAACGTAAGTGTTATTCGAAAATTGTCTTCTATTATATATATATATAAAAATATCATATATATATATGATAATAATTTAGATATATTATATACCTTCTATTGAGTCTGAGAGCGCTTCTTGAAATACCGCTTCACTGTAGACATTGAAAAGTAGTGGGGGACAGCACGCAACCCTGGAGGACTCCTCTCTGTATTTTGATATTTTCGGTGTACTGGCTGTCAACTCTTACCTTGGCAGTTTGATTTCAATATAAATTAGATATAATTTTCAGATCACGACTGTCAATATTTTTGCTTTTTAATATATCTACAAGCTTTTTATGTTGAACTTTATCAAATTTAGTATAATTTAGATTAATTTGAGTACTAAGACAGTGAGACTTTCCATTTGTTTTCATTGTAATCCCAAATCTTCCAATAAATCCAACTCCAAGTAGTTTTTCTTTTACTAATGTCATGTAAGATAGATGAACCAATACTGATGTTAAAATTGTGTTTACTGGATAATAAGTGTTGACCAAAACTTAAAGAGTTTGGTCTTTTCAAATGTTCCGAAATTCTAGTAGATAACTTTCTAATGGTTCTACCTACATAAGAGGCATCACAATCATATTTTAATTTATAAATATCACTTTCGCCAATTGTGTTCATCCTATCTTTGGTGTTGATTAAAAAGGAACCAAAGTGTTGTGTGACTTGAAGGAAATTTTGATGTTTTAAATTATAGAAGTCAAAAGTTTAGATAGTTAATTGGAAATGTTGCTAATATAAGTAAAGGAGAAATATCTGATGTTATTTGAAGAATTGGGTTGAAGCAAATATTGTGATGAATATGCAAGCTTTTCTGCAATTTTGAGTTTAGCTCTATTTAGAAGCGTATGTAGGATAAGGATAAGGATAAGGATAGGATAAGGATAAGGATAAGGATAAGGATAAGGATAAGGATTAAGGATAAGGATAAGGATAAGGATAAGGATAAGGATAAGGAATAAGGATAGATAAGGATAAGGTTAGGATAAGGATAAGGATAAGGATAAGGATAAGGATAAGGATAAGGATAAGGATAAGGATAAGGATAAGGATAAGGATAAGGATAAGGATAAGGATAAGGATAAGGATAAGGATAAGGATAAGGATAAGGATAAGGATAAGGATAAGGATAAGGATAAGGATAAGGATAAGGATAAGGATAAGGGATTAAGGATAAGGATAAGGCTAAGGATAAGGATAAGGTAAGGATAAGGATAAGGTTAAGGATAAGGATAAGGATAAGGATAAGGATAATGATATGGATAAGGGTAGGATAAGGATAAGGATAAGGATAAGGATAAGGATAAGGATAAGGATAAGGATAAGGATAAGGATAAGGATAAGGATAAGGATAAGGATAAGGATAAGGATAAGGATAAGGATAAGGATAAGGATAAGGATAAGGATAAGGATAAGGATTAAGTTCTAAATTACAGTTATCATCAGAAAGTGGAAATTTAGTAACCTATGAATGTTACTGTTGAAAGTAGCCATTTTATATTGGGTTGGATGATTTAGATGTTTCATGTATAACATGATCTGTTTGAATATCTCTAAATAAATTCTATTTTATTCTATTTTTCAACCATTGGAGATGCATTGGAGAAGATATCAATGTTTTCTAAAGGAAGTTCCTTTGATTAATGTTGATAATTTTCTTTTTCAACAATTTTTTACCAGATGATTTTTAAAAGTAAAACTATCCTTAGTTTGAAATATAATATTGTCACAAATTTCTCTCACAGATAAATTCAAATTCTCCTTATTTCGTACCCTTCACTTTGGTTGATTCGATTATTGCATATTTTTTATTACAGAGGGTAGCTTGATGTTCATCACTATTTTTTATTTTATTATGTTATTTTATTGTATTAATAACTACCCAATATCGATGAATCTACAAAAAAAAGGAACTGCTTCAAGTGAGAAACGTTCATTACGCTAAAGCAAAGGCATTTTATGATATAAAACAAAAAATTAAACATTAATGTTAGCATAGTAATAATGTATCTGCAATAGCCTTTAACTTTATGCAAAATCTTCTGCTCCCCAATTTGACTACAAATAAAGTTTTCTAAAGCAGACCACTTTGCTACTGTATTCGGTTTACACACATCGGAGGCAATGATGTTCATATGTATACCTATCACGAAGAAATGGCTAAATGTGGTCGAAATGAAGTAACTTCCATGATATTTCATTTTAGCCTGGGTCAGAACAAAAACTACATCTTTATCTACTTTTTATACATTCTGGTGCATGTACTGAAATTAGCATCAGAGATAACACACGCATACCCAATACGAGGACATTCATACCTACCTGGCGATAGTGACTTTAGTCTCATTTCTCGTGCAAAAAAGGTAGTTGTTGATGTTCCAGAAAAATGGAATGATCTTATTTGGCAGTCAAGGTCTAAACCTTCTTCATTTAAAGTAATTAATGCTGGGAAAGAAACTGACTGGTTTATTATGGATGAAAGTTTTAAGGATTTATTTTTAAAGAATGCAGAATCAAAAATTTTATTAAAACCAGCAAGAATGTACCGAATATCTGAGAAGTATCCTAGACATGTTTTAATACTTCAAAGTTATCACGGCCCATGGACGTACCACACCATTACTGAAAAAACAACATCAAAAGAAATAACTTCGATATCAAATAAAGCGAAAAATAAAATAAGTCAACCTAAATTTCGCGATCTAATGGAGTTAACTAAATATCTCAAGAATCCTCTTAATAAAGAATTTTATCTTAATTTAAAACTACAATCTGGGGAAACTAAGGACAATATTCAGTCGTAGAACTATTTAGCGACGATAATAGTAGTGGTGCCGACCAGACATCATAGAATTATTTGTTATTTCTATGAAGATATTATATATGTTAATTTTCCAAATTTTTTTTTTTTTGGCCTTAGGTACAAGACCTATTTAGCCAGACAATATAGGTATAAGGAATATAGAATACATAAAAACAACTTTCAAATTCATAACAATTTCCTATCCGTTCGTTCATTCGCACCACATTCACTCAATTTCTCACCTTCCCATTAAAAACACTATTCTGTGACTATACAAAAAGGATTGAAAAGGAACACACGCTTCACGCTAAGGTGCCCTTCATAGGACTTTTTGTAACACAAACAATACAGGCAACGGTTTAAAGGTAAAAGACATATAAAGGAAAGACAAAGACAATTCCAAAATATTTTGTTAAATTTCTACAGATTTTTGTTTAAAATATCAATAAAGATATGAAATTAACTTGTACAATTATTTTGATATCTACATTCGTTCCAATGAATATCTTAGTAAAAGTAAGATTTGAAATAAGTCAAAGCTGGGCAGTTTTTCTTGATTTGTCAAAATTTTAATTTTTGGACAATTGTTTTTTTCAAATAAACGCTTAATTTCTTAAAAATACCTTAAATTGTATCAACCAAAACTCTTAGCTTTAAAATAATTGATGTGTGTCATGTTTTTTAGGAATTGTGTTTGGTCGAAAATGTAAAGAGAATGCTAGTGGAGAGATGTCAGTCGGCGTGGGAAAAACTAAATAAATTGGAAGAAGTCAAATTTTATCTCAATCTTGATATTAATGACAAAAGCGAAGCTTATGAAATTGATAAAGATCAACTCACGTTGGATAAAAATTGTGCGAATATCACATTTAAAATCGATCCTCTCAGGGTAGTGAAAGGGTAAGTAGATCAACCATATGGTAGTTTTAATTTGAATTTTAACTACCTTCTTCTTTAAGTGTTACCTTCGCTACGAAATATGGTTATTTTCATTGTAATTTTTTAACTCTTAAGATTTCTTATTAAGAAATACTTAAATACAACTTAAAGGTCCTCTTCATTGACAAACAAGACGTCTTCCTTCTGTTAATGTTAAGCTTTTAATAAATCTATTCTAGCATCATTGTCATTAGTCATCTTTACAAATAAAATATCCCAGAAACTATAGTTTTTTCGTTTTAATTTTAAATGCTCTCTATTTTGATCTATTCGTGTGTGACTTAGTTCACGAGAGAGAGAGAGAGAGGAGAGAGAGTGAGAGAGAGAGAGAGAGGAGAGAGTGAGAGAGAGAGAGAGAGAGAGAGAGAGAGAGTGAAAACACGTTTGTGGCGTCTTAAAAATGGAGGGCTAATGTAGGCAAGTTATTGCAAGAATGTACAATAAAAGGTTACAAATATCTACAGCGTTTTCAACACCATCATCAGAACAGGCTACTTTCCGAGTCAATGGAAATTGGATCTGTCTAATCTGTCTTATTCATTGACTATCTTTCCTTGTTCATCATAGTAAACTCATTGCAGTTGATCTATATGTTCCAGTTATTTCTTTAACCTTTTTGTACATATTAAGTGTCATTCTTTTTCTGCAGTTCTTCTATTTCAAGACATTTGTTGCTGTACCATTTTTCCTTTGCATTCCGTATTTTCCTTCTGATTTCTTTATGAATTTTACTGTATTCTTCAGTGTTTTTATTTTTCTGTTTTCGCCTGCTTTCCATTAGTCCCAATATTTCATCAGCCATCCATTGTTGTCTGCGATTATTAATAGTTTTATACTTTTTAGTTGTTTCTTGCATAATGCTTTTGACATGATTCCAGTGGTCTTCGACTTTGTGCGTTTCTTTCGATTTTTCGAACTTCTTTTTTATCTCTTGTGTAATTTAATGACTATATATTTTTAATACAGTCAGTGTTTATTCGGTTAGTCGGTTGTTGGCGTTTTACTATTTTAAGTTTGAGTTTTATGTTACTGGTTAATAAGTTATGATCTGAGGGGGATATCGGCTACAGGTAGTGTTTTAGTTATTTTTATTGAATTTTGGTACCTCTCGTTAATTGTTATATAATCGATCTGATTTCTTATGATCTTTTCTTTAGTATCTGCTGATTAATTCCAAGTATAAAAAAATATCAATAGTTCGATTTAATCGGTAAATTGTTCAGTTATTTACTTCCTGGGAACATAAAAATTTAACGTCAATCAGTCTACAGTGATTATTTTGAAATAATTTTGTTATCTATAACACATAAATGTATTGTATTTAAATTAATATTTGGAAATGTGCTACTGACATTGATATACTTAAAAAAGGGGTTTTTACGAGTGTATTGTTCATACACGTGTAGGTGTTATAAAGAATAGTCATAGTAAAATCCCAAGAAATCACAAGAAATCCTCAAAAGCTTAGGTTCAATGTCAATATCTACTGACATCATCTCTTACCTCGGTGCGAATTTAAATTGATTGAGAAAATGCAGACAAAATATCAAGTCCATTTTACTTCACATTTTTTTACTTCCAAAAGGCTTCGATAACCGTGGAGGTTTACACTATACTAACTTTACTAAAGACTACTTTGTTAGGAGTTGAGGGGCAACAAATTAGTTTTTATTTTTTTTTGTTTCCAGTATTTAACTTATGGAGTTCTCTTTTAATTTTCTTAAGAGCTGTTGCGATAATTCTAAGAAAACATAATTATTTTATATTCGGGACACTTGTTTATACCTTTTTATTAAAAATATTTGAAATAAATTATTTGAAAATCTTCTGTAATCTCGCATTTTGTTTTTGTCCCATAGATTATTTTAATGTGTTACATTGTATTAAGCCTTGCTTGAGCGACCTAAAACTTTGCTTGGGCGACTTTTAGTCTGTGGCGCAGTGGTTCTCAACCTTTTTGTGGCGACGGAACACTTTTAATTACCGAAAAAAATTGCGGAACACCAAAGTAATAACATGCATAAATTGATAAACAAATTAGGATTAGTACATAAATTCTGTAATAAACTTTATTATACGTACTCAAATTTGTAAAATTTTACTTAAAATATGAAAACAAAAAACATTTTTAAAATTAACAAAAGCGTAATTCTCAAAATACATCATATGAGTAAATACTTCAAATTAGTGAGACACTTGTGCCTGGTGTCGTTTGCCAATTTGCTCAATATCAGGCCTGATGTGGGAAAGAGCTACTCTCATTTCTTGTTCTAAGTTTAGCAGCCTTTCTCGTTTCTTATTTTTAATGTTTGTTAAAGATGAGAACCCAAATTCACATAAATAGGACGTTGAAAACTATTAAAATACTAATCGCTTTTTTGGCAAGAAGTGGATATTCCTCTTAGATCAAGATCCAAAATTCCTGAACATTCACTTCTGAAAACTTAATTTTCAGAGTACGATCAGATGACAACGAAATAAATTCTTCTTCTTGGTTCAGAGAAAACTGGAAATTGGCTGTATTACTTGTGCTAAAATACATGCTTCAGAGATGGAAAATACCTGGCAATTGTCTCCTCTAATAGTGATAAGTGTTCTGTAACTATATGCGTGATTTCTTGTTTTTTATCTTCATCACCTTCATTATGAAGCAGTGGAAACATATCTGAAGCAGTGGATGTTAAAATATTTTCATTTTTGCCTTACATACTTGAGTTAACGCCATTTAAATAACTAAAAATATCGGCCAAATATGCCACTTTAGTGCACCATGCATCATTTTCAAAATATGTGGTAAATGTGTCATTACCTTCTTCTTGGAAAAAAGTTAACAGCTCCGTTCTAAGTTCATAAATTCGACATAATACTTTGCCCTTGACAACCATCTAACTTCGGTGTGCAGCAACAAACATTCATACTTTGATTCCATTGAGATGCAGAGTTGTTTAAAAAGACGGGTTTTTAGTGGTCTTGATTTGATGTAATTCACGACATTAACCACTTGGTCTAATGCAGATTTCAAAGTAGCTGGTAGCGTTTTTGAAATTAAAGATTCTCTATGCAAGAAACAGTGCGTATATATATTTTCATTTCGCTTTTTTGCAAGGGTACAAAAACCTTTTATGGAGCCTACCATGGAATGGGCACCATCCGTACAAATTCCTACGCAAAAGTCCCATGATATATTTTTTTTCTCTAATATGACGGTATGGAATCAAATACATCCTGACCTATTGTACGTGCTGTAAGTTCTCTGCAGCATAAAAACTGATTGACTATTTCACCTTCGTCGACAAATCGAATAAATCCTAATAAATGAGCTTTGATACTAATATCAGTGGATTCGTCCACCTGCAATGCGAAGTTTTTTTTGTAAAGTTTATTTGTAACTTTTTCCTCAATATCTGCAGATAAATCAACAATCCTCTTCTTATTATATCATCCGACATAGGAATTTTCCGTATTTCGTTTTGTGCATCGTTGCCAAACATAATTTTTACCATCTCACAACATGCTGGTAATATGACAGATTCTGCAACAGTGTGTGGTTTCTGTTCAAAGCAATTAATTCGGCGACCTTATATGAAACTATTTTTGCTTTGTCGGAAATTGTTAGCGACCTTTCAAATTGTTTCGCTTGTATCTCGAAAGTCACTTGAAATAATCTTTATTTTTTGAAGCTACACTAGCGTGTTTGGTAGTAAAATGGCGTTTTAATTTAGCCGGAGCCATTGCGCTATTAGCGAGTGTCTGCCCACAAACAATACACTTGGGAATTGGACAGTCTTCTTCCCGTCAAAATGAAGCCAAAATCCAAATATTCATCCAAATATTGCCGGTTCAACATTTTTTTGCTGCGCTTCGATTTGTCATCAACCCCACTTCGTAAAGTTCCAGTATCTCCGCTGGTGTTCGCTTCATCATCATTAATTATGAGTTGTTCCACAGTAGTTTTTCTTTTAAGTTTGAGGAACTTATCCATTTTAATTTATTCGTCTCTAAACAAAATAATGCGGATGAATGCTTCACATTTTGTATAAAATATGCAATTACTTACCTTTGATAGATAAGCCGTACGTAAACGTATATCATAAAAAAACTGACACAGCGATTTTCACGTATTACGTTTGTGCAATGTAACAAATTCAACATTCAGTTGCAGACTGTGGAGTGGGTGACTCAGATTGGCTGTGGCCACTGCGGAGCTCAGCGCTCAGCGCTTATAAAGTCCAACGTGTGCACTGTGCCGACGCGGTGTTGTCACGTTGGGCAAATGAACATTTACGCTGCAGAATTTTATTAAATTAAAATGTACGTAAGTGGCTATTTTAAAATTTGAAAATATTTATTTAAAAAGAGTAATTTAGCAAAATGGTATGTAGGATTGCCAGTATTTCGCGGAACACTTGGAAGGAATTCGCGGAACACTAGTGTTCCGCGGAACACCGATTGAGAACCACTGCTGTAACGTATCTCAAGAAACATCAGACACAGATTAAGTTTACCTGATAAGTTATGTAAGTTAGATACAATACAACTTAAATATATCAAAATATGTTTAGGTGAAATGAAGTCGTCACCAAATCATGCAATTTTAGCCAAAACATAAGAGACTCCTGTATCTGTTCTAAGACAATAATTAGAAAATAAAAGTTGAATAAAATACATGATACCTATATAAGGCATTTCTTTTTTTTATTTGAAACTGCTTCAACCACAGCGGTGTTAGCGATGGTCAATTTTGCAGATAACATAAATATAAAAAAAAAACAAAAAATACAATTAGATTTTGTTGATTAGTCCTGAGGAAACCAAAAAAATATGGTACGACTGTGGTCACTATGTTCACTTAAAATGTCTTTTATTGTTGTAGGTAACTGTTCATGTTGTCTTTCAAATGCGTACAACGTACACTCCACTAATTTTAGATCACTATCACTATACTGTAACACAAAGGTTTG